CTAGATCTGTATAACCCCTGCTATGACATGCACTCTAGACTCCAACAAAGCTGAAGGCTGTAGCCCAGATCCTGGGCCTCTGTGTGGGCCCTAGTGGCTCCCTGGGCCACAGACTTTAAACACAGACCCCAGCTACAGCTGGTCCACTGACCCAGACATGGCCCCTGGCAACAGCTCAGCCAGGTAGACATCCTAGCTCCAAATGGTAGCCTTGGCCACTCAGATCAGAATGGCTCTGGAAGCAGCATGGCCCCCAGACACCAACAAGGCCACAAATTGTAGCCCAGACTTCTCGTGGCCTTTGGCAGCAACATGGGCCATGGACATCAACACAGACCTTGACTGCAGTAGGACCATGGACCCAGACATAGTCCTTGCCAGAAGCCTGGGTTTGGTTGTCACCATGGCCCTAGGTGGTGCCCCAGACCACCAGAATCAGCATGTCCCTCAATGACAACAGGAGCCTGGACATCAACACAGAACTTGGCTGATGTAGGATGAGGAACCAAGAAATGGCCCTTGGCAGCAGCCCAGCCCTGACATCACCATAGCCCCAGGTGGCAAGGAGGCCTCTAATACTAGCCTACTCCTCACCATCTTCATTCTTCCTTTCTGCCTCTTTCCACATGCATGAACCAGACTGCTTTTCTTTCTCTCCCATTTCTCCAACACCATTGCAAGTATTTTCTCCAAGTCTGTGTTTGCTTTTTATTTTCTTAACTTTTTTCTTTTTCTTCTTCTTTTTTTCTGTGTAGCCTTGGCTGTCCTGGAACTCAGTCTGTAAATCAGGATGGCCTTGACTTCAGAAATCCACCTGCCTCTGCCTCCCAAGTGCTGGAATCAAAGGCATGTGCTACCAACACTCAGTTCATTTTCTTAATTTTTTGAGAAGCAAAAATAAATATTGATAAAGCACAGTTCATCCATGTTTGCTTTCCTGAATTGTGCATTTAGTGATACATCTTGGAAATCTTTGCCATCTGTTCTCTTACAAGGTTTTGATTTTTGGCTATATTTAGGTCTCTGAGTCACTTTAAGTTTAGATTTGATATATGATAAACTATAGATTTCTGGATAGTTTAACTGGAGAGACAAATTTTAAGAGAATCTTGTGACAGAGACAATTCATTGTCTTACCCAGTCATGTATTATTCTTCCTAAGCACACAGGAAGAGTGCATCTCCCAGTTTTCTTACACATAGATAAATATGATTGTCGTATCTACACCAGTGGTTCCCAACCTGTGCATCTCAACCCTTTTGGGGTTGAATGACCCTTTTACAGGGGTTGTGTATCAGATATCCTGCATATTAGATATTTATTCTATGATTCATAGCAGTAGCACAATTAGACTTATGAAGTAGCAATGAAATAGTTTTATGGTTGTGGGGGCACCACAACATGAGGGACTGATTGCATTAAAGGATCACAGCATTAGGAAGGTTGTGAACCACTAGTCTGTATAATATTGAGAGACATAATGTGCTAGCCTTCTAAATTTCACCATGCAACTCTTTGCCTGATCGTGCACACTCCCCGTATATCTTTTAAGGCCGAACTCTGCTGCCATGTGTCCAAAATAGCAGAACCACAAAAGGATTTCAGATCCTGAACTAGCACACAAAAGACCATTATTTTAGTTGTTTACTGCTACATAACAAACTACCCCAAACCTGAGTGATTCCTATAACAATGTTTCATTATCTCTTTGATTATGAGTTGACTGTGCTTTGGACCTTGCACAATTACTGGCATTTGTGGCCTAGGACTACTGTTGATCATCTGATGGCTTGGCTGGAGATGCCCAAGATGATGGCTGTGTCCTAGGATCTTATCTGGGTTCACCAAGCAGTATGTTGACACTTGGTCTCTACGTGTGGCCCCAGAATTTCAGCCTGGTTGGTGGTTGGGTTTCTAGAGGTGTGTGTGTGTGTGTGTGTGTGTGTGTGTGTATGTATGTATGTGTATGCATATATGTGTGTACATATTCATGTATGTATGTATGTATGTATGTATGTATGTATGTATGTATATCCAACTATTTAAACCTGGTAGGTTCAATAACATCTCTACCATATTCTATTGATCATAGTGGTCACAGGGCCTGGATCAAAGAGGACAGTAAATGTTACTCTTGATGGAACAGTGGCAAAATCCCGTCGCTGAATAGCATGCATGTGTCACAAGCCTTTTAAGGGATACCATATTTCATGTCTTGTCATCAGAACTTTTTAAAATGTATTGATGTCAAGTGTGAAGCGAGAATTTATGATTGTTACAGGTTTCTGTTCTCTTCACTTAAAACATAATAATGCTCAACTTTCTCCACAATGCTTATTGTCCTACCACTTACATTTTCTGGCATTACTATTGCTACCCAGCTCTCTCTCTCTCTCTTTTTGCATATTTTTTTATTTGAATTAGAAACAAGATTGTTTTACATGACAATCCCAGTTCCCTTCTCCCTCCCATCCTCCCCTACCACCCCCTCCCAACTAAAACTCTCCCTATCACATATCCTTTCTGCTCCCCTAGATGGTGAGGCCTTCCATAGGGGGTCATCAGAGTCTATCGTATCCTTTGGAATAGGGCTTAGGCCCACTCCCATGTGTCTTGGCTCAGGAGTATTCCTCTATATGGAATGGTCTTTCTCTCCAACTGGATCCCAGTTCAGTTCAAGGGTTATCTATGTTTCTGCTTCTCCTTCCCCCAGCCATTGGATGAAGGCTATACAATGTCATATGAATTAGTCATCAATCTCACTATCAGGAAAGGGCATTTAAAGTAGCGTCTCCTCTGTTGCTTAGATTGTTAGTTGATGTCATCGTTGCAGATCTCCAGACATTTCCCTAGTGCCTGATTTCTCTGTAAGCCTAAAATGTCTCCCTCTATTATGGTATCTCCATTCTTGTTATCTTCTATACTTCCCCTGACTCAACCTTTCTGCTCCCTCATGTCCTCTGCATCCCTCCTCTTCTCCCCTTCTCCTTCTTCTAGCTCCCTCCCCCCTCTTCCTGTGCTCCCAATTTGCTCAGGAGATCTTGACCCTTTCCCCTTCTCCAGGGGACCATGTATGTCTCTCTTAGGGTCCTCCTTGTTTACTAGCTTCGCTGGCAGAGTGGATTGTAGGCTGGTAATCCTTTACTCTATGTCTAAAATCCACATATGAGTGAGTACATACCATGTTTGCCTTTTTGTGACTGGGTTACATCACTCAGAATGGTTTCTTCTAGTTCCATCCATTTTCCTGCAAATTTCAAGATTCCATTGTTTTTTTCTGCTGAGTAGTGCTCCATTGTGTAAATGTACCACATTTTCTCTATCCATTCTTCAGTTGAGGGGCATCTAGGCTGCTTCCAGTTTCTGGCTATTACAAATAGTGGTGCTATGGACATTGTTGAACAGATGTCCTTGTTGTATGAATGTGCTTCTTTTGGGTATATGCCTAAGAGTGGAATTGCTGGATCTTGTGGTAGACTGATTCCCATTTTCTTGAGGAGTTGCCATACTGATTTCCAAAGTGCTACCCAGCTTTCTTACATCATGGTTTAACACTTTATTTTCCATTTTGTTTCCTCTTTGATAGATATTTTGCTTTGTACCCCCTTCTCTTAGTTGTTTGTTATGTTTGATGGTTTACTGAATATGTTTATGATGCTGGTGTACAGTCTTGGTATACTACCATAAATTATTTATTTTATAATGATGAATGCTATAATTCCTTAACTCTATTTGTTAATTCTGCCCCCAACAGTCTCTGTATTTTAAATTTCACATGACATTATTGTTTCTGTTTTAAACAGCCAATACTTTTCCCATTTTTCTCTTCTTAAGGGTGCTTTCCATCACTTTTTACACTTGTGTGTTTTCACCTGTCATTATTTTCTTTTCACTCAAAGAACCCCGAGGTCCCTTTTGACATGAGTCTGCTGGAAATAATTTATGCTAATTTTTGCTTCTCAGATGTTTTTTTGTGCCTTTTTTTTCCCTTTTCTTCTTCACCTGCCCCCTTGGCTGTTCATTTGTTTTGTGAGACGGTGTCCCACTTTGTAGCTCTGCCTGTCCTGAAGCTCACTATATAGCCCAACTTAGCCTTGAGCTCACAGAGATATGCTGCCTCAGCCTCCAGGATTAAAGGTGTGTGGTGACCGTACTTTTATTTCTTAAGGTGTTTCTGCTGAATCTGAATTTGTAGATACAGTTGGTATTTTGTTACTTACACATTCATAAATGATCAGCAATACAACACAAATCTGAGTATGTATTTGAGGTGATTCTGGACAGATGAAAACAACTGATCATCTATTTGGTTCTACATTCATGATGAAATAATACTCTTTTTTGTTGTTGTTTTGTTTTCGAGACAGGGTTTCTCTGGCTTTGGAGGCTGTGCTAGAACTCGCTCTAGGCTGGCCTTGAACTCATAGAGATCTTCCTGCCTCTACCTCCCAAGTGCTGTGATTAAAGGCGTGTGCCACCAACACCCAGCAGAAATAATACTCTTGATTTCTTATTAACATCAGAACACTGCTGAAGATATTAGCTCAATGGGCTTATTTATACACATGCTGTTATTTTCTACTGGAGATCATTATTGTTTTTTTGAGAATTCTTGTTATAAAAAGGGAAGAGTGTGTGTGTGTGTTTGTGTGTGTGTGTGTAGGGAGAGCCACTGGAAAGTTGGCTCTTGGTGGCTTCCAGAGGACCTGATCTGATGCCCTTTGCAGTCCTCCAGGGCACTGGCACACATGGCACGTATATACACCATAAATAAAAATTAAAAATCTAAGGTGGGGGAGTGTCCAACAGCTAAGTTTGAATCATGATCTTAAAAAGATAGACTTTAACACGTGGATAAGATCTAACAGAAAAGAGATACCTTTTATGTTTAAAAAAAATGTCTATTGTTACAAACATGGGTTCTTGGTAGCACCAAGCTTGGATTGTTTCCAGGCCTGGGTCCCACGTGCTCTTCCATGGTCGCCATGGCTACCTGCCCCGGAACCTTGGCGTGATGACGCTTGTTTCCGGCGGGATTTTTAGAGTGACGAACAGTTTTGGTCCAAGCGACCATGAGAGGGCCAGAGCTCGGGCCCCAAAGTAGCATGGAGGGGGACGTACTGGACACCCTGGAGGCCCTCGGGTGAGTGT